GGCCAGGCCTTGATCCAGGCTTGTGATTCTGGATGACTCGTTGCTGAAGTGAGTCAGATAGTCGCGGAGGCTCTCGTCCTCCGCCTGCTGCAGACTCATTAGCTCTGCAGTGGTCTTCTCTCGGCGGTTGGCCGTGGAGAATTTGCTCTTGAACTTGTTGGAGAGGTCGTTCCAACCGGTTATGGAGCCTTCCTTGAGCCCTTTGGTGATCCAGGATTGGGCAACACCTTTGAGGGTCGTAGGAAAGTATTTACACCAGGTAGCCTCAGACCTCGGGTTCAGATACATGTGCCCCTCGTAAGAGGCAATGTGATCCTTAGGATCTGAGGTACCATCGTAAGTAATATGTGCCGGGATTTTGACCGTTGGCACATGCTCTTCCAGAATCCACTTCTGGAAGGGCGAGTTCGATGGAACCATGACCGCCTTCCCCTTGTACCCGGCCTCAGGGACCTCGCTCCCTCCTCTCTCAGAGGTGGAAGTGGTTTTCGTCCCCGGCTGAGACAAGGTTGGGTGGGGTCCGGTATCCTCTGGGAAGGTGAGGCGGCTATGCACACTCACCTCCCTCGAACCCAAGCGTTCGTGAACGCTTTGGCGGGCGAATTCCGGGTCCTTGGAGGGCCCCATGGAATTCTGAGCTTCGGAGTGGTCAGAGGGTTGAGGGTTCCTCCTCCTCTCCTTACTGGAGTTTCGGGTGTCCCCTCGCCACCTCTGGCCGAGCTCTCTATGTGGTGGAACTTGTCCACCATCATCCTGACCGATCCTCCTTTTCAGGTTTCTCGGCTGGTGATCATCAGGCATCTGGATTGGAGCCCCTTGAGCTTTAAGGAACTCCATGCAGATGGCCACTGCTCTGGCCACTTCCTCGGTGGAGGGTCCGGAGGGAGGAGTCTCCCGCGGATGTGACCTGGATTGCACGCTATGGCGCGGCGGGGAGTTCCTCGCACCTGAGCCACTCGGTCTCGGGGATGGCCCCGGCTGCCGAGTGTGGTGCGAGGTGTTCTCCTCCTGGAGGCTAGGACCTCTTGAGGCTTCCCTTTCCGGAGAAATGGGGGCCTCCGATTCGGAAGAGGCTTGCTCCGGGGAGGGATAAACCGGCTGGCGTTCCCTCACCGTAATCCGGCCTCCTCCCTTCTTAGCCTTCTTGGAACTCTTTCCACTCTTAGTCATGGCGACTGCCGGAGTGTTTGATGACTGACGCGAAATTTAGTAGCGTTCCCCACAGACGGCGCCAAATTGTTTCGGACGAAAACAATCGAATCTCGGAAGATCCTTTTATCTTGAGGGAACTTGGTCTCGGTCCGAACGACGCAGGAGCCGAGGGTTTCCTGCACAACAAATACACGTAAACTAGCCTCGGGGGGGACGCCGAGGAAGGCCCCTCCGATGCTTAAGTCAGTATATTAGAGAGAGAAAGCTGTGCAAGAGTTTAGTTGCTTGAGGCTTTATTGTCTTACCAAGAATTGACCAAATTGTTGGCTTTTATACCTTGGCTAATGAAGGAGGCGGATTGGGCCCGGAAGTCAGTTGGGCTGGGCCAAGCTGATTGGGCCGTTGACTGACCTTGACATGGCTTTGAGGTTGTTGATTTTTGACTTTAACACATTTGGAGAGTTGAACCTTAACCTTGGGCTTTTAATTGGATCATTCAGTGACCAGGCCCAATTGGACTAAATTGGACCCAAACATCATTTATTTAATTTGACTTAACATTTAATTTTTGTACACTAACATATTTATGAAGGGGAAAATTTTAATTTCCTTTAATGAATATACAAAGCTAGACAGTTGAAGGATTTAAAGCTCGTTGCTTTTTACCTGTCACTGGCAGTGTATATATAGTGTTTACTGTTTTCACCTGCCTTACGCAAAAGTCTATCAATCGTTTTATTACGTACTACTCCTTCGTACCTTATTTTTTGCCCCAATGCAATTTTATGGGTCAAACTTATAAAATTTTGACCATAAATTCTCCATAATTTATAAGTGATAATATATTTATGTGGGGTCTTATTAGAATCATCTCATTGTATATTTTATTAATATCAAACTTTTATAATTTTTATGCGTATAAAAATTAAGATATATACATTTGAATACACGTCTTGAACACCGTGAAAAGTCAAATGGAGCAAAATATAAAGGACAAAGAGAGTAGTACTCTAGCAGTACAGAGACTGTTTTAAGATCATTTACATATAACTACATTACTTTTATATTGTACTTATTGCGGAGATTAAGATAAGGAGAAGGTTTTATCAAGACAAAAACTCGCAATACTCCTTAAGAGTGATGGAGAGGATGTCTTGGGTAAGGAAATACCCACCGCATCCTATGGAGCCTCTAATGGAGTTTAATTCTACAATCTCGTGACTGTCAGATGCAAATCTTTTCACTAAATCAAGCTTTACTATGTGTTTAATGTATTTTGACTCCAACTTCATACGAAACATTTAATTGGTCTAAAAATAAGTGACTTTATTTCCAAAATGTGAATTGAATAACAAAATTAGTACTTGTATTATTTAGGAACCGTGAGAGCTATGACTTATGAGTATCGCAAAAAAATTATATCATCACATTAAATATATTTGAATATGTAGTCTACCTATTGAGGTAGATTTCATTTGTTATTGTTGGTTCCATTATATTGCTTTGATAATTTTCATAAAAATCTGATCTTGTGACTTTAATTTCCTCTATATATTATCATTCTCTTTCCATGATCACCATCTTCTTTTCTACGAATTTCACATGAAAGTACGAACATATGCTTTACACCAACTCTATATTATGTCAAGATTAAAAGAGATTAAAGGTTGGTATGGACATTATTAGTATGAGGCTCAACCACACATTTTTTTTTTCCCCTTTGTAGGTTCAATATAGTATTTTCTCAAACCTTATATTATTGCTTAAAAAATAATTACAACAAATGGAGTGCCAAATATAATGACTAACGATTGATGATATATTCGGATTATAATTCAATATACTTATTGTAAAATTAGTGAGATTGAAGTTCAATCTCAAAAGTTGTCAACACAAAACTAGTACAAAGTATTTCATATGTATTTCAATATTACTAGCTTTAAATAAAAATTCATAATTATAGCTCGATTTCAATGTCATCAACATACTACTTCCATTTCACAATAAATGCAAGGTATTGACTTTTTGCTTATTTATTTAATTCACTAACTTTGTATACACTTTTTTACATATATACTTGTTTAAAAATTAATTATTTTATGTAACATATTATATTATTGGACTGCTCTCAATTAAAAATTGATGTTGTACACAAATTAATGATCAAAGTAATGCGTAGAAATGGAAAAAAGTCAATCAATATAATTTATCTATTGTGAAACTGAGGTACTCCTTAGTAGATTATTCTTATAATTTGTGTTTTAAGTGACATTTAAATTAAACCTCGTTAATGATATAAAAATGACATTTAAACTGTTTCTAGCTAGTAGTTAGTTGTACACAATATTTCTTCCTTCTTTTAATTAGTTGTCTAGAGAGTGTTACTAAATTTGTCAATTCTTTGATGTGAATGTATGATGTATCTATCCTTTTAGTAATTGCATAACAACTATTTTTCCGTAGATGACGGCGTTTAAATGTGGTGGGTTTGCAATGGGTCTCCAAACCAACCATGCAATATTTGATGGAACAAGCATCAAATACTTGTTACAAAATCTAGCAGCCTTAGCAGATGACAAGCCTTTACCAATTGTCCCATGCAATGACCGTGAGTTGCTTGCGGCTCGTGATCCGCCACGTGTCACGTTCCCACACCCCGAACTCCTTAAGCTTAAGATCCCAATTGGCCAAGAGGGTGAAGGTGAGCAGAATCCTACCATCTTCGATACCACCCCTCAAGACTTAGACTTTAAGATATTTAGTCTTTCGGAAAATGACATCTTTGACCTTAAGGCCAAGGCGAAGGCAGGGCCCACCAACGGAAAGGGCAAAGTAACGGGATTCAACGTGATTTCAGCTCTAGTTTGGCGTTGCAAGGCCTTATCTAATAGTGAAAATGATGAAAACAACTTATCAGAAAGGTCATCAACCATGCTATTTGCAGTTGATATTAGGGGAAAGCTAAACCCTCCTTTACCAACCTCATTCGCCGGTAATGCAGTATTAACCGCGTATGCAATGGCTGATTGCAAGAAATTAGAGGAAGCTCCACTCTCGGAGCTAGTGGATTTGGTGACAGAAGGAGCCCCAAGGATGAACGATGAGTATGCGCGATCAGCCATAGATTGGGGTGAGTTATACAAAGGGTTTCCTAATGGGGAGTTCTTGATGTCTTCATGGTGGAGACTAGGGTTTAATCAAGTGGAGTATCCTTGGGGAAAACCAAAGTATTGTTGCCCTTTGGTGTATCATAGGAAGGACATCATATTGTTGTTTCCTGATATTAATGAATCCAATGCTGGGGTCAATGTTTTGGTTGCTCTTCCACACAAGGAGATGGCCAAATTTGAATCTCTTTTCTACAAGTTCCTATCTTCTTAGATTGTGTGGTATTAATATAGAATCGTACGTATTTACGTGTAAGTTTGGTATGTTGAGATGTCTTACCGAGCATGTAATGTAATGGTGTATGATATTTTTAGTTTCTAAGATTTCCATGACTATTAGAGTTTGCTAAAATGTTAAGTTTAGTGTGGTTGTATCCATGTACTAATTATTATGTATTTCATAATGATATTAGAGTGTTTTATTTTATTAGTAAATTATACTTCGTATATATAGATTAAATATTGATGTTTATTTCTTTTTCATACACTTGATAATAAATAATATGGGTACAAAATTCTGTAAAAGCAGCACTGTCCCAATCTAATGGGCTTTTGGGTCCGGTTAAAAAGGTGGGCTCAGTCTAATTGTGAAATGTAAATGGGCTGCACCTTGATCCAACTCGCAAAAATATGTAGCACACTTTTAACAAGAAAGCAAGTAATTCATTCACAACAGTAAAAAGACCAAAGAAAACATTACATTATTTAGGCACCCCTGAAATTGTACAATACATTTCCAAAAAAAAAAAAAAAGCCCCAAAAGAAAGGGGAAAAAAGGAAAAAGAAAAAACTAATACATATTAACTATTTCGTAACAGATCACTTTTTAAAATAAATACCTTATAAAAACTTGTGTAAATACCCATTTATAAAGACATTTCATTTAGAGAGATACAGGGGTAATAACTAATTTTAGTAGTCAAATTACCACAATATGATGGATCAAGGGTTAAATTACGAGTTATTAGTATTAGTGTATTACTCTAACAAAAATGTCTTAAAAGAAGGTTGTTTGTATAAGGTACTTATATATTAGAAAAGTGCAATTGTTGACAGAGACTCCTCATTATTATTACTAATATTAATAAGTGCAGTAGATCATGTCCAGTGATCTCTTCACTATAAAGGGAGTGTAGATAATTTACAACCTTCTTCCACCAGAGCCTCCCTCCCTCTGGCAATTGAAATAGACGGAAGCAACGGGCAAGCCGAGGTTGTAGACTTCAGCAAATTCTCTAGTTGTGAAGTTTTGGCGCCACCCAGGAGGATACACAGTTTGCCTTCCTAGTTGTTGAAACAACACAAAGATGAATCGATGTATTCCCACTGCTGGCCTTGGGCTCTCATAGCAAACTATCTCTTGGCCTAAACAAAAGATAATGTCATAAACTCTGTGAAAACTTTAAGACCAACATCAATTATATCAACAAAGTAGAAAACTTTAAGACCAACATCAATTATTTTTACTTACATGTACATAATTAGGAAAATAAGATGAAAATATGACTACAAGAGCAATAAATTGGTAAAGACTATAAATTTGAACTAATCTGAAGCAACTTTTTACAATATATGAATCAATAATGTTCTATTTCTTGTCTAAAAATATTATTCTTAAAACCGTACTTACTGCTATAAAATGATCATAGTATGTACCAAGATCAACTTTAATATTAATTTCTGACCTTTAATAAATGTTCTAATCATAAATTTTGTCACTTTAATAAATGATCATAGTACCAAGAAGAATTTCATACACAAACCAAGTTGAGTTCCTTACAAGACCCACAAATAGCTTTGCAATCTTCAGTCTTTCGTGGTAAGCATTTGAGTACACAAAAGGTGAAAAGGAGATTGGGAAATTTAAGAAAAAAGCAGCAAAGGATGCTTAATAAATTTCAGAGGAAGAAAGAAATTACCCTTTTTCATTTTAGTGGTCCTTTTCTTACAAGGAATAAACCTAAATTAACTACCTTTACCCCTCCTGGCCCTCCACCATCCTCTCTTCACATGATCAGCACACAGCGCCAGATATCACATAATACATGGATGATTTTTGAGGCATCTACAAATATATGAACTATGTGGGGCCCCAAATACTAAACAGAAATTCTAATTTTGATTAATGATAAGGGATACTCACCAAAGGATGCACCTGTGGACCCAGGAATATCAGTCACCAACCTTTTTTCCAAGAAAAAAAAATGGATCTAGTTAGCCAATAAACAATATGGAGTATAGAGTATGTGCAGCGAAATAAAGCAGAATTTTATAAAATTGTAATAATAAAATCGAAATAAAATTAAATCACATTAATTTAATTGATTTCAGAATCATTTGTAGGAAAAGCGAAATACCACTGCCAGGTGGGTTACCGGTTACGTACATAATTTGTACTTGATGACGTCATCTTGTGATCAACTACAGTCTTCAATATACCTTACATTTTTGAATTTTCACTTATTTTATGTGGTACAATGAATGCCTTTGTTAAATATTATTCTTAGTATTCAAGAGCCAAGTAAATAATCTCAAGGTTCCTAATCTTCCTATCTCCTAAGAATAATCTATCAAGTGAGAAAAGTTAAGTGGAGAATAACTTTTGTCGTTATCAAATATCAATTCATCACCAAACAACTAAATCATGGATATTTTCATATTCATTTATATTTGTGAGTTACAACTCTCAAACTCCATAATTAATACTCTCTTTATTTCGTAATAATTACAATGGTAGGGAGTGCACCTAGTTTAAAAAAATATAGGATAGACTTATGAACTTCAATAAAATAAGAAAAATGTTATACATAGCCCTAAGAGTTACATTTAAGGAGCTAAATTGGAAAAAAATAAAATAAAATAAATGAAAATGTAACATTCATTACACTAATTTATATGTGATTTTGTCATGTATTCCTAGATTAATACTATATTAGGAAAGATATTAAATGTTTATTCATAGCCTTAAGGGGCTACATATAACATTATCTATAAAATAATACAAGTGGACAAATTTTTTATACTATAAAGTATAGTTAGTATAAGAGAGAAATAATGAAAAAATTATGTAAGTGAGGTTGGTAAGAGATAGAAATAATACTACTTCCCTTTTATATTTTTTGCAACTTTAAAATATTTTATATCTTATAAATAATATCCCAAAGTTGCAAAAATATGAAACGAGGGTAGTAAGATATTTGTGAAAAGTGAGCTTAATAAGAGAGATAATGGTTAGAGTATTTAACTAAAAATGTTTTTAGGTTTCCCACATCCGCCCTATTTTCAAGTTAAGACAATGTTGATCACCTCTTTGCGATTATTACGGAAGGATTTTTTTTTTGTAAAAAGAAAACGATGGGAGTAATATAAAGGAAATTTTTTTAAAAAAAACCACCCCAAATACACCTCTTATTGAATTTATCACCCGTTTTTTATGAAATTAAAAAATACCACCCTAAAAATGCAAATTAGTAGGTATCACCGCTCCCTCCTCGATTGAGGGCTCATTTGTCACCACCCTATTAGTGAAAATAATAAACTTTTTAAAAAATAAAAATTCCCCCTAAGCCCCCGTCCTCGGCAGCCACCCTGCTCCCCCTTCTCCTACCACCCAAACCAAACCTGCCCCCTGCCGGACCACCCCCACCCCAACCAGCCACCTCCAATCACCCCTACCGGCAGGTGGGGGCTTGGTAGGGTTCACGAGCAGGGGTGGGGGCTTGGTGGGGTTGTAGGAGAAGGGGGAGCAGGTGGCTGTCGGAGCTGGTTGGGGATTTTTTTTATTTTATTTGATTATTTTCGACTAATAGGGTGGTGACACAAGGGTCCTTGGTTTTGCGTTTTAAGGGTAATATTTTTAAATTTTGTAAAATACGGATGATAAATTTAACAAGTGGTGTATTTAGGGGTGGTTTTTAAAAAAAATCCTAATATAAAAATTTCCTTCACGTCCATGGTCCATCTCCTTTAAGAAAAGTGATAGAAATCGGAGAACGGAGAAGCAAACACCCGCAGTATCTTCTCTTCCTACCCCACCAGACAAGTAACAAAGAAAACTGCAGTATTTAACGTTTCGAAATCAACAAAAGTACTCGTACTAGGAGAAGAGGGTGAGAAAAAGAACCGTAAAATTTACAATGCAAAAGTTACAAAAAATAAAAATAAAAACAAAAGGAGTGTACTTACCAGTGCAAATACTCCCTCAAGTTCGGATTACTTGGGCTAGGAGCATCGGGGTCCACCATAACCTACAGACACATTTAGCAAAGAAACCACTATAAAATCTTACTGCATACGAATGAGAAGATTCATTAGTTAAAAAAGCATGTATTTAAATACATGACAGTTGTTTAGAAATGATGATGAAAGAAGGAAGACAAAATAATCATACTTTTATTTACATTGGATTTTTATTCTTGGTAATTTCATTATTAGGTCAGCTAAGGGACTTACCAAGGTGTAGAAAGTCCTAAGGCCATCACCTCCAATCTCAACTCTTGGTTGATTAACAACCTGAGAGGGCCTGAGTTCACATCCATTATTAACATCTCTATTGTTAAAGCTTACCCTGAGAGTTACAGTCCTATTGAAGGGATCCAAAATATCCCCGATAACTCGGCCGACTACTAAAGGATCTCTTGGTGGTGCTCTAGGCATGATAGGGAATGGATTTCGATCTCTCTGTTTACGCTGTATATATGTATCCAGCTGACTCCTATTATAATTATAAGAAAAAGGCCAACAAGGTTTGGGTTGCTAAAATCTTGCAGAGAAGAAGTTATCCCAGTGAGTGCTTATATATTGAGTCCTCAACGCAGGTTCCCATCATATATCATCGCGTCTCATGTTGCATCAGTAACAACTATATCATCATTATATGCTTCAAGCATAATAACTTTATTTGCCTGCCAAAAAAATTAAAAATATTTCTAGGACCAAAACAATAAGGGGCCCACTCTACTTTCATTACTACGTAGTATAATAATAAGTTGGGGCAGATTCTTCTCAGAAGAGTTCAGCACCCATTGGTTCAAAACTTTGGGGGACCCGATAAAGAAAAACTTTCCTGCATAATATATACGGCTATTGGTACCATGATACAAGCAAACAGATGCAACATAGCCATGCAGTCAGGAAAAGATAATCAACTAATACTAGCCTACTAGGTAGTGATATATTGATATGAATGAGTATGTTATCAAAGATGCGGAAAATGGGCTGGAATGGTTTGGGATTTTGGGTCTTGTTTAGGTGATGAGTTATTTGGTTCATATTTAGTTGTGACAAAATGAAATTGAGTATTGTGAGTTTAATTTATTTATATTATTTTCATTCACTATTATCTCTGGGTAATGTCAGTTACAAAGAATGATTCAGCTAAGCTTGCATGATTATTCAACATTTTTTTAACAATTGACAAAAACAAAAACCCATGCATGCATATTGATACTCTTTATCATGATTTTTAAGGGAATGCTTTGGCTATATGATATCTTATGCTTCGTATATTGAATATTAAAAGTCCATATTTACACTTTGGAACTTGGTTAATGTTTAGAACCTTCACTAGGAAACTATAAGATTGACGGGGGATTACTAACTGAGACCCTTGTGAATAGATTGTCACAAGGTAAAGCATGCTTTATGACCACTATTAGAAAACAACCAATCAACGACGGAAAAAATCCGTCAGAAAACCCTGAAATTCCATCGGAAGGCACCGTCGCATTACATGTTGTAGGAATTTCGCGATATTCCATCGGAAAAATCCATTCCGACGGATTTTGTTCTGTCGGAGTCAAGTTTGACTTAATTGGGAAATCCGTCACAATGTTCCAACAGAACATTTTCCGTCGGTATGAGTTATATTCCGACGGAATTTTCCGTCGGAAAAGTAAAAAAAAAAAAAAAAAACAGCCCCACCCCAACCCACCCCCACCACCAACCCACACCACCAGCCCACCCCCTGCCCCCCTGCCCACGCATACCCCCATGCCCACCTATGACTGCCATGACTGCCCCCTTACCCACCCACACCACCAGTGCCCCTAAACTGGACCACCAGCCCACACCACCCACCTTAACCCACCAATCCCCCTAACCCATACCACCAGCCCACACCACAAGCACCAGCCCACACCACCAAACCCACGCCACGAAACCAACAAAACCCTAAGTAACGGCCACCCACAACCACCACCCAAACCACGAAACCAACTCTAACTCACGCCAGAATCCACGAAACCACCCACCACCTTCACAAATCATAACCCACCACCAGCCCACACATCACACACGCACACACAACAACTAAAAACCCAAAATTTAAAAAAAAAACAGAAAATCAAAAAATTAAAACATAAAACATACCTTAAATTGAAATGGGCTCGAATTTCACCACGAAAACGGTTTAACAAGGCCAAATTCGGCCATGAAAAGTCTAGATCTAGGCTTTTAATGGTCGAATTTGGCCTAAAAACCACCTAGACGTTGCGCAGTGGTGGTGGTAGTGGTGGTTGCGGCGGTGTTAATGTTGTTCGACGTTGGTGTGAGAAGGAGGGGAAAGAAATCAGAGAAGAAGAAGGCGAGAAAGAGGAGAGATAAGAGGAAAGAGAAGGGGACAGGCGAAGAGAAAGGGATTCAGAGAAAACCAAAGGGGAAGGAGAGGAGAAGAGGAAAGAGAAGAGATTCAGAAAAAACAGAAGGGGAAGGAGAAGAGAAGAAGAGAGAGAAAGACAGGGGAAAGAGGCGGAGAAAGAGAGGAAATAATAAGGAGGGGAAATAATCGGGTTTAAGTCTTACGACGGAATTGAATTCTGTCGCAAAATTTCCGAGGGAATTTCCGTCGTAAAGTACCTTTTCCGATGGAATTTTCTGACAGACCATAATTCCATCGGAAAATTCGAATTTTCCGACGGAATGTAGGTCCGTCGGAACGATTCCGTCGAAAAACGGCCTATTTCTAGTAGTGGACGCACACCTTATAAACATAATTGACCTGATTTGACAATCAAGTGTTATATTGATTGTCAAATGTCAAGCATAATTTACTTTCCCATTTGATTGGGTTGTATTAGTTTTAAAGCGTGGTTCGAAAATTAAACTTTCGTCTTTTCTTTTTTATGTTCTCGTAAACGGGAAAATAAAAGGTGACATAAACTTGTTGCTCAAGCTAGTAATTAATTTTTGATAAAAACTAGTCAATTGAAAATCCATTCATCAAATTTTTTTCTCTAAAATAAATCATAGTATTTGGAGTTTTAGAAAGAAAGAGAGTTTTCCAGGACTTGGGCGAGGATATGAAATATAGAAATTGAGTGGGATAAGAATTTGTAAAAAGCATCTACCTAAAGAATCGTCAAGAATAAAACGACCTTTCAACGGTTTTCCAAAAATAAAACGACCTTTTGATTAATCAGGAATAAAGCGACCTTTGACATGAATCTTTTATAAATAGGATAAAAACCGGTAACCTGTTTCAAAGGTTAACCCGGACACGTGTGACATAGTGATTGCTTAGGATTTTTTATTTTAAGTTTTCAAATTTTGTTTTAATTAAATAAAACTTAATTTTAAAACAAAAAAAAAACCAAAAATCCTCCCCTTCTATCAATTCCGGTCAACCCCTTCCCCATTTCAACCACCACCGCGCTCCTCTGTCTAGCGCCACCAGTACCAATCCTCAGCTCTTCCCTACCCCTCCCTTCCGGCAACGCAACGCATCCCCCTCCCCTTCTAGCTTCTCACAACACCCCAAGCCCTTACGTTTTCCCGCAACATCGAATGGCTTTTATAGGCTGTTAGTCATGAAAGGATGGAGATGTAGGGCGGTGTTTTGGGCAGTTGGAGCTGGGAAAGCAATTCTGGTGGTGATTGGGCGGTTATTGTATGTTGTTGGTGAATGGGCTGGTGGTTGGAGCTTGTGGTGAAAGGCTAGGATGGGGGTTTCGGCTGGGATAGTGGGGCAAGGGTAGGATTCGCTGGGGCTGTCAGGGGTGTACTGTGGGGGCTGCTGGTGGATTTTGGTGCCGGTGGTGGATGAATGCCGGATTTAGTTGGGTTTGTGGGTGGAGAGGATGGGTTACGGTTGGTGGTGGCTAAACCTACTCAACGGGTCGGGTCGGCCCAGTCCGGACCAGACCAAGCCTTATCCAAAATGGGTCGAGCTTGTCCATGGGCCATTAAGCCTAGCCCGGCCCGACCCATTCAAATGTATAAACAAACTACAATAACCATGTAGTAAACACAATGTAAGAGAATTATAAAGGGCCTTAGCCAACAAGTTAAAAGTAGAGAGCTGAGTAATGTTCTTGTCACAAATTTGTTACAATCAAGTAACTAAGCAATGTTGTTGACACAAATTAGACACACAAATTTGTTACAATCAAGTAACTAAGCAATGTTGTTGAGGCAAATTAGACACACAAATTTGTTACAATCAAGTGACTCACTAGATACTAATCACAGCATACCCAACTTCCCGCACAAAATAACAGTTATAGATGGCTGCCAGAACATTTCATACAACCTCTATCAGGCATCAGTTTTTCCGATCCAAGTTTCCAATGGTAATCATATGATGCATTGACAGAAGCAGCCCCTAAGATGGGATAATGACATAAAGTCATAGTAAAATTCTAGTGTAATACTGAATACAAATCTCTAGCTGAATCTTAGAAAAAAATACTTCTATTCGGCATTTATACCAAGAAAAACAGCAAGATTATAATAATAAGAGTAGAAAAATCAAAACAATTACCTAGTATAGGAAACTATCATCAACCTCATCATCATCATCATCATCATCATCATATCCATCATCAACGGCCTCATCATCATCCGAGCTAGAATCACGATCCAAATTTGAAGGGATGTTATATTCATCACGGCGCCAATCTTGAACACAAACTAGGGCTTGAACCGTTGAGGGTTTCAATGACGATTAGGAGATATAGTTTTCCCCCCAACACTGAAAGTCGACTCGGAAGCCACTGTACTAACCGAAATCGTTAGAAGATCTCGTGCCAATATTGCAAGCTCCCGAAATCTCACTACATTTTGTTGCCAATACTCTAGAATATCTAGCTCCATGTTCAAATCAAGCTCCTATTCCTCCAAATATGACTCAAGTTGGGACTTTTTTGTTTGAGTCCTTGTAATTCTTGAACTATAGATTTGATAATCATCAAAGAAGTTTTCATCTTCAATCTTACTACTTGTAGTAAAGGGAACGACAATTGGGGAAGTTGAAAATGTTGACTTATACTCATTATACAAAGATCTTAAAGTGTTCAATACTTTTTCAACTTTATACATAGCCTCATCCGAACCATATATCTTGTCAAAACAATACTCCACAAACTGTAACTTAAACCTTGGGTCAAGAATTGCCGCACAAGCTAGATATATGTTATACTCGGACTACTATTTGTCAAATTTTTCCAACATAGGTAACACCATTTGAACTAAATATTCATGTGGATCTTTAGATGTCTCAAGTAAACGACGATACACCATACATGCTCCCTTAATATACATGTTAGAAGTTGGAAACTTATTGGCCGAGAACATACATGTAACATCATGAAAGAGTTTCAAAAACTTGTGAACAACACTCAATTCTTCCCATTCATTCTCCAAAGGCACATTACACTTGAAAGATGCATGTAATGACCCTAAATGAATAAACACACCTTTATAGTAAAGCACATTATCAAGCATCATATATGTAGAGTTCCAACGAACTTGCATGTCCATACGAAGTTTCCTCTTAGCCTCTAAATGAAAATGCTTTTGAGCGGTATCATAAAAATCCTTGCTTCTAGAAGATGATTTTTTAACAAATT